TTAAACTGGTGAGAGCCAGACAGGGTGGCATTCAGACAGCTATCCTTAGTCAAGATGATCTAATGAAGATCACTGTGGAGAAACCATATCTCCTATTAGACCAGCTGGTACCATTTGGAAAAAAAAAGACCCAGACATTCTTCTGGTTAATTCAAAAGGAAGAGCCCCCTCCTGTCTCTGGGTGAGGCCTCCAGACATGCGATCATTCAATTCAGTTCCATTCACTTTCTTTACAATACCTCTTCATAGCAAAATTTGAGGCTTGTCCAAATTTAAATGGTTCCTGGGTGACTCTGAGCAAGGACAACCCACCTAACTGATAGTAGGCACAATCTCCACGTCACTCTGTGAAGAGCTACTGTTGCTATGGTTGAATCTAGTGTTGATTAAGAAACTTCCTACAGCATGCTAGGAAAACCATATGGATTTGTGGCTGTCAAGCATGATTCTTTTTGCAATGCTGCCTCTTATACTTGGTTAGAGGGCACAAACCATGTCAGACACTCCCAAAATTTTATGTGTTTTTTTTTTTTTTCAGAATTATATCAGTTAGTCTAATAAAACATACAATTTTATTTTTCCATATGAAGTGGTTATTACAACATTGCTGTCGTGTGGCTGAACTCTGCACTGTCCATCTCTGCAGTCTCAGTCCCACCTTTTCTACACACCAGAAGCACACCCAAGGTGTTACTGAACGAAAGCGTTGCTTGTGAATAGTTTATTAGCACATTCTTTCTGTAAAACATCAAAACTCAAACATTAACTTCTGAGTAGCCTATCATTTCAAGATGAAACGATGCCCCTTCTGAAATTTACAACAGGGCATTTGCACACTCCATTTTTTTAAGTCATATGTTTTTTTTTATAATATATAGTTTTATTTTGTTTCCATGAAAAGACCACAGATTGTCCAGAACTGAAGTTATAGTACAGTTGCAAAACAAGGCCATCAGCAGTTGCCTGCTATCAGCGTGGCTTGTGCTTGGTTTGCTACCCAGAGGTACCCATATGCTGAGATAAGGTCTGCGTGAGTTTTCAGTGTAATCAAGAATTATCTTCAGTATTGCAGCAAGCCTCTAGCAATTCACTTAAAAGATAATAAACTTAAGCTAAAGAATATTCCCTTACTTAAAAAGAGAAGAAAATAAAATGAAATGTTTGTTAACAAACATTGTGTTCTCATATAAGATGTCTCCAGCATTTAATATTTTATGATCTTATGCAATTTCAGACTAATAGGGGAAGGGAACTCCTCTGAGAGATCTTCCTTTTCTTTTTACAAATAATTTATTGTCGGCTGCACAGAATAACCCTGCACTTGGATCACCTAAGTGCAATGGAATGCTTTATCTGTTTATCAAGACCATTAAAAACATATGAATATTTAATCTCATTACACCATCCCAATGGTGAGTTCTCATCTGGTAACAAAGAAATGTGACTTCTCTTGCCATCTAACTCAGCATTAATTGACCTGAAAGATTAAATTAAAAAAAAAAACCAAAACAACACAACAAAAAAGGAACTTCATTTTCCATCTCTTAGATGATAACATCTAGACTGACAGACCAAAGGTATGGTCAGAATTTTATTTACATATACAATGTTTGGTTTGCTTCTTTCTTTACACTAAATCCTTTTACGATCTAAAGACATCTGTACATTCTAATACTGAACTGCTTTGAAGAAAAAACAAACACAAAGCTGTTTTTGTTGTTAAGCAGGAAATGAGGTTGTAAAAGAAGATTTGTTTCAGATTTCCAAAGGGTTATCATAATAAAACAACCTTTAGCTTAAGAATATATGTGAACAGTGGTCATGGTTAAGTTATAAAAGCTAGGACAATAAGTGACATCAAGGTATATCCTGGATTATTCAATACAGGATACGGATTTGCTATAAAGGATTTTAAATCAAGTTAGATAAATTACCTCCATTGCTCTTGCTTTAAACCAAAGGAATCAGAGGTAATTTTATTGCACTTACAAAACAAAACACCCATATGCAAACGATAACACATTTAGATTTTTGTCCTATTATCTTTTGTTCTACTGAGTCATACAATAGAAAATGTAATGATGAACCAGTCGTGGTGTCACAGTGACAGGTAAATGGAAAACTACATACAGGAGGGAATTAACAGAAAAAATATATATCGCAAGTGAGTCACTGCTGTGACTAAGCTAAGTAAATACCTATTGAGAGCATCGAAGTCTCAATTTCTCAACTATGGTGGCAGTGACTCACTAAGACAACTAATGTCAGAGAGTTAAGAGCCCCAAACCTAACATTCTTCTCAGCTGAACAGTTAATTGCAAATATGTGCTAGATAATAGATTTCAAACACCATGATAGCATGATGCAATACTGATACCAAGATGAAAGCTTGCATTTTGAAAGCAAGAACTTCAGTCTGATAAAATGGCCCCAAACTGACTATTGTCCTTGCATTGCATTCTAACTGTGTAGGTCAGGTTGCTCTGAAAGTAATGCCTCGTCTGTTTCCATGGAAACTACAACAGATACAAAGAACACAGTAACACTGTTAGAGCAAATTCTCAGCAACAAAACACTTTTTCAACAGTCACCACCACCATTAGCTGTGCATTTTCACCAGCAATGAACAACAGCCTACATGCCACACATAAAAATCTGCACCAGTGGAGGTGTCCCACTGTTTCACAGCTGCTGTGATGGCAAAGCAGTGACACCATCACTCCTGCAGAGATCTCCATCCCCTCAGAGAGCTGCTGACATCTACAGCTTGCAATGGAGCGAGGGGTGGATATAAGAAGGGAAAGATATACAGCAAGAAACGTTGTTCCTCATTTCTGTGACTGGCTCAAAAGTTTACAAGCAATTTGAAATGTTTCTTGATGAGCAAACCTGCATAGTAATAACTGTAGAGGAGGTGGAGAGATATATTCATTTTGTGCATATGCATTTGAACAAAGCGGTAAACACTTGTCTGAATCAACACCACTGAGATGTTGTTTTTCTGTTTTCAGCTGGAGAGGGAGGAGCTGCCAGAACCAAAACATGGAGGTGCTGAGTTCCGGTCAACTGCTGTCACCATTCTCAGCTTAATTATCACTAGTGATCCCATGGTTAACACAATCCTTGTGGCTATTTAGGTCCACAGCTCAGCCTTCCATAGTGTTACAGAAGTAAGAACTTTCTGGACCTTATGTATTTGGGTTTTTCTTAAAATACCTTGAGATTATCATCCTGTGTGCACGTGAACTAGTCCATACTAGATTCGCTCTACTAGTAGCTAAAACATTGCCAAGATCAGAGGAAGCTACTTTTCAGAATGGGTGTGCTCATGCACTCCTGTATTTACTCCTCTCTTTTCTTTCTATAAGTAACCCTTGTTGGGGCAGATATTAGCTATTCCATTAGCACAAGCATATCTATCTGAACAAGGCCTCTTGGACACGGGAGCTTTGACTCCCCTCTTCTGTGTATGTAAAGAGAGATTGTTTTGATTTTCCAAGCAGTGTGAAACAGAAACAGAAAGCACTTTGTCCCAGCCAGAAATAGTAATTCCAGCTTTTAGTAATACACAGCTTTTTCAACAACACATTTCAGAATGCCCCCTCTTGTCTCAGGGCAACCCGGAACTGACTCTGGGAACTAGCTATCACAGCCCTTGGAACAAGCATCCTGTTGAAGTAGTGATATGGAGAAAGCAAGTTAAAGACTTGAGAGCATTTCTGTTGGAGAAAGGAGTTGATGAGTGAGTTCTAATTGGGCAGTTTATAATAGAATAGAGTTGTAGAGTTGTGTTTTTTGTCAGTTCTGAGAAAACAAGGATATTTAAGAACAGGAAGCACAGTAACTGTAAAATAAACATGCTGAGAAGCAGAGATTTGTAGGGACAGGCTGTTCAGCTACCCGAGGAAGGCTGCAGTGACCACAGCAGCTTCAAGTTCACTGAAAACTTGATTCTAATTTGCATCATGTGATTTACTATTACAGATAGGCAAAGTTTCAATGATAATAACTTAAAATAATCTTTTGAGAAGCAGCAGTTTACTAAAAAGAAGATGACAATAAAGATGAGCTACAAGGCCAAAAAAGGAAGTTTTTAATAATTGCTGAGCCGAAGTATTACCAGATATAGCAAACAGGTAGGCAGGCTCAGGGAGAACAGACTCAGCAGGAGCCACGACAAAGCAGTTGGATACGTAGATGTTCCAAGGCAGCCCACTGTGAGTACTTACGTCACTGGGAGGGTCTCTCTTGAATATTCAACACACGTAGCAGAAATATCATCATCTATTAAGAACATTCTCTGGTTCTGTAACCTTTGGGTTATAAGTGTTCAGCACTATACATTTTCTAAGCAAATTTCTCATGTTCTCAGTTCACTTTTGACTGAACTAGCTTTGCTTAACTTGTGTATATATGTGTGTGTGTATATATGTACACGTGTATTATAAAAATACTCACATATTTACTAAAAGATTAGCAGCAAAATTCACCATCCAGACATGAAACTAACACTCAGATCAGCATCCACATGGGGATGCCTGTAATACTGAGGAGCTACACAGAACTCTAAATAGCACAGCTATCACTACTGTGTTCCAGGGTTCTCAACCAAACTACTACTACATTTGCTGGTAAATTTCAACTCAGATTCAGCTGAGAGTTGAAGCTGGTGGGGTTTTTTTTCCCCCCAGATGTAGTAGTATTTCTACATGAGTAACTAAAAAGGGATAGCTGCAGAACTGGGGCATAAAGCTAACAAAACTCTCTGAAGAGAAAATCATTCTTTGAGCACAGACTGCACAAGGTTTTCACGACTCACTTGCATGCTCAGCTTTAAACTTGTGGCTGGGCTCAGGTCGGTACAACTCCACAGCTGTGATCAGAACTCTGTTTCAGGCCCACCTTAACATACATTTCCCACATAAAGAAAAAAATCTAGAAGTCATTTTAATATAAAATGTTTTTATTTTTGAAAACATTTAAAAAACAATTTTTGAGCACTTTCAATAAAAAAAATAACTGAAATGCTACTGCAATATTCAACTACTGTAGTTTCAGCAGTACAACAGACAACGAAACACTGCGGGAGAGAGGGAAAACTGGACTTCCTGCATTTAATGAAAATGTAGTACAGGGATTTATTTTTTTCCTTAGGGTGCAGTTAATAAAGCACGGTATAGTACAAGATTATTATATGAACCTTGGATGCACTGCACAAGAAACGCTTTCCTTCTTTTCAGTTCAGAAGTCAGTGCTTATTGCAATTATTTGCAAATTATTTACTTCATGAATTCTTATCATGATAAAATGATGCAAAAATATCTTTCAACACCCGAACAATAAAAAAGAATCCAAAAAAGGAACATATTCAACAATAACTAAGCTGAATTAGTTAACATAAAAAAAGTAAGTAACTTGTGAATAACTATGCTCACCTGGTTAACACCGAACCAGCTTCAATACAGCAAAGAATAAAAAAAAGTGGTTACAGGAATATATCTAGTACTGTACAAGATTAAGTCATTAACACTCATGCACATTTTGTGATCATGTATTAACATGGTGAAGCAAACTAAACTTGATTTTTCCTGCTGTAATATTCTCATTTAAGAGAATAAGAAATAGAAATATCTCATTGAGATCATTGCACATTGCTACATAAGACAATTTCACCTGTCACTTTTAATGACATTTTGCCTTTTAATAATGAAACACATTAGATTTTTTTCTGTTTTATTTTTTGTGGGTTTTTTTTTTTGTTTATTTGTTTTTATTATTTTATTTAAATCTGTTGGCCGTATTTGTTGCATTTATCCTAAGGAACGTGCCTGCCACAGGTTCAACAGAATATTAGTGCAATACATGAACCCAGATAGTTTGCTGGACTAACCAACCAATTTTAAAGTGTTTGCTGCAATACTGTACACAGTGTACAAGTTCACTAGTTTGTATATTTTAGCAAAAACTGCTATCAAAATTATTTATCATCTTATTTGGAAGCCAATTATGTAAACAAGGGGTCAGAACTGTCTCATCTTCTTTGTTCTGGAGTATCTGACAGACAGGCTTCCATTTGCTAAAATCATGGAATCTTCCTTTGGGTATTGCATACTTTGGTGTGCAGTAGTGCTCTGTCTCAACGTAAAGAACTAACAAGCACTAAATACAGGGACCTCATAGATAATAGTTATAACACCAACACAAAAACACCGCTAAAAGGACACATACCAATGTACAAAGCTGTGTCTATGCCTTGGATTTCACTTGAAAGAACCCTGACTGAATAGAACACTTCTTCAATTAAACATACATTTGCTTTAAATCCACTGATCACAGAATATTCCTGCTAATTAAATCACTTGTTAGGTTCAAAGTAATGCTTGTATTTAAAAAAATGTAAAAGGTACTTTAAAAACCTTTGGTGATGGCTGCATAATTTAGAGAGCATCAGTTTCAAATCTACTCTTGTTTTTGTGAGAAATGTTCTGAAAAACTAGTGGAGTTAGGTGAGAACTTGTTTACAGCAAGCCCACATCAGTCCCAGCAACATGGGGGCCAGGTCAGCACATCGTGCAGACTGCCACAGCACAGATGGAGCTCGAGATCTCCCCCACACTCCACACTGGAAAGCAGGGTTCATATATTCACTGGCACTTCACACAGGGTCAGAAAAAGGAAGCGCTGAGTGTGTCTCAGACCCAGCAACTCAACAAGGTAAGAGGATGGTGAGCCATACCTCTGCTAAAGGCCACGGACAGGAACGCAACTCAAGCCCTGCCACTGGCAACTTGTGCCTAAAGGAAAAATGGTTCCAGCCTTCCTGCAGACACCTAAAAGAACCCTAAAAGAACCCTACCATGCAGGTTTTAGACTCCTAACCTCTTCCTTAACTAACTTAAAAGGGTGACTTAAACCACACCATTGCATATCCCTATGTTTCAAGGAGCAACCCAAACTCTCCAAGTCTTTTCCTAAGCAAAAGCAGTAAAACTTCCAATGCAAGCACAGTGAAGCCATGCTCCCTGTAAGGCGCTACAGTTTGTCACAACAGTTTTGTCCCTGAAGCAGCAGCCACAAACTGGTGGTCAATCAGGGCAAGAGCAAGAGAAGGCATGATACACCAGCACCTGAAGTGACAATGCAGCAGCACAATTCAGATCAGCACTGCCAAAAAAATTAATCAGTACTCAGATCAAGTCCTTAGCAAAACTGAAGAAAAAAATGACCACTAAGTCACTTTAAAAAACAAAAATTAAAAGCAAATAATCATCTGAGCATCTATTCCTTAATAAATCTAGGAGGGCTTACTGTGCCTTCCTATTATAAATTCATGACCTCTTATTGAAAGAAGGCATGCAAGAGAGGAAAATGTCTTCTGCTCTGCTTTCAGTTTGTCAGTTCACAAGAGAAATAACTAATTTTATACTAAGCTTAAGGGATGGTACTGTAGCATTCTCAGAACAACTATTTCTTAACAGCTTGCTTTTGCAAGTCCTCTTTCTAGCATCAGGGCCATGGCTGGTCAAGCACTTCTCTCTTCATCGTCAGAGAGACTCGTGCCATGCTGATAAAGCAAAAGGCCTTTTTTTTTTGGTTTAAGTGAACTGGTGAGTTAGAAGTTTAAATTCCATTTTCAAAGGGGGGTAGCTCAGTACATGTAACAAAAATTAGATTCATCAGTCCTCTCAAAGCAGTCAGTGAAAACTGAATTCAAGCTTCTAAAACCAGTAAGCACTTTTAAAATAAATTTTATCCAAAATGAGATCACATCTATAAAGTGCCTGGCAGTATTATGGCTCTATACAAAATATTTTTAGATCCACCACATTTTATAATATTTTAATCATCTTTTATTTAAAAGAGAGCAAGACAGGCTCAACCTACTGAAATATAGAGGAAAGAACATCTTCCTACACTCTCCACTGTTAGAAAAGAGCAAACTTAAAAACGAATCTTTAAAAATAGTATTTTTATGAGCTCTAGCAGCTCTTTTTTAAAAAAGAGGGAAGATACCACATCACTTCTCCAGCTTCGATAAATAATTAAATAGTACCTATCATTTTAAAATAAGGTGTTATGCCTAGATTAGACCTCAGTGCTAAAATCTTTTCTCACAAATTTTGCCTGATATAAAAGCACTGACGTGAGAACTAAAATATCAAGTACAATGTCAGAAACATTAATGGACAAAATAACTACATAGATCTCTTTCTCTTAAATAAAAAATTAGTGCATCTTTCTTTTTCCTTGATCACGCCCATTTCCTGTTATTTTTTCTATCTCTGCGTTTTACTAGAGATATAAATGGCACCAGTTCACCACCAGGCAGCACTCACAACAGCTACACAGTGATCAGGCACCTGCGTGCCCCCTGGTTCACTTGTATCCACTGCCCATCCCTACATACCTGCAGGAACCCTGCATTTCAGACAGAGGTCAGTATGAATCACGTACTGAGAAGTAACGAGCAATACTTAGTATGGTAAGCTTACCTATGAGCTCAACTTAAAACCCTCCCGCTGCCTCAACCAGAGCTGTTGTTGCTTGCTATTAACCACTTATTTACTACAACAAGAAATGCTGAATGGGAAACACTATCAAATTAAAAAAGTAATACTGGCTCTTTGATAGCCCAATCACCTTCAGAGGTTTCTTTTGAAATTGGTAAGACTGCCCTTTCTCTGCTAAAGAATGAGCAACTGGTACAGCAAACTTCTTTTTTTTTTTAAATGCCACAATACATAGCAAGTGTTTCTGCTGCAGGAGGCACTTCCATTAAGACAAATACAATACGTCTGTCTTTTACATACAGTGTGCTACATACATACTATAAAACAATATTAACCCAACATTTCAACAGCAGGATGATCCTTGCTCTCCATCCACTCAAAACCTGATGTATTAATCGAGTTCATGGATTCATTGCAGATTTGTTGAAACAAGGGGTCATTTTTTAATTCCTCCAGTGTAGCATCATCATCTTGTCCCTGCTGACGACCTGGATCAAACAGTAGATTTGTGTCTAAAGTGTTCAGATCGTTAATGCTGCCTGAGAGTTCGGAAGACAACCTGATGTCGCTGGAAAAGACAGATGTAACGCTGAGATCTGATGCCACCTGATTCACCAGCTGCTGGTTTGTTGGCAGACTGTCCTCCCCTAAAAGGTCTTTTACAGTGCTGCTAAAATCTAATTGCTGTTCTCCGATGTCTGATTGTGCTTGGTTATCTCCAGAAGAAAAACTGATCTGATCGGTGCTGCTTTTAGTGAGGTAATTTGGTGTTTGGAATTCATAAATTGAAGTGCTGGAATTGATCATACTTTGCGGGTTGGCACTAGGAAAAGCAGTGGACGTCTCTAAAATCTGAGTGAGATTCATCCTGGCTGTGTAATTTGAGGGCATGTTGTTCATTCCCAAACCTCTCACTGCATCATCGCTATCAGAATCAAGTTTGTTTAACAACACATTGGTTATTTTTTTAGCGTTTGTTTGTTTCTGAAGAGATGGGAAGGCCGTCTGCATCATCACAGTCAATGGGACTGACTGGCTTCTCTGCGCTATATTATTGGCATTAGTGTCTGCATGGATATTAGTAAATACGTTGTGAACTTCAGGAGTCACTGGACTTCCAAAAGGTGCCAGGTTGGAGCGTGGTATATTGGAAACAGGGTAAACGGTGCTCCCACTGAGGTTGCGCTGACGATGGACAGCAGGGCTCACGCTCCGGCATCTCAGACTGTTATTGAGAGAGGAACTGGCTCCTTTGTTGTCCAGAGGAGCAGGAACTGCAAAGCCCTCCTGCTTGGTGCTGCTACTTACGGGAGCTGCCTGGTGCTGCACAGGTGAAACAGGAGTCACGCAACCGAAGTGAGTATCGTGGTGGCGTGGCTGAGATTGGTATGACTGGCCAGGAACTGCAAAAGCATGAGGTTTCCTGAAGCGATCTTCCACTAGCTCCTGGTAGCTCGTAAGGATGCCGTGGTTTGCAACCGACGAATTGCTAACACCGCTGTACCCGTTATTCATCCACTCAAGTTTGGTTTTGTCAGGGTGGGTAGCCATAGGCCGCTGCATTGGCTTCACAGGGCTGCTTGAAACAATGCTGGCATCGTGGTAAGCCATACTGGAGCTTATGGGGGTAAATGCAAATGGGTTTCGGCATTCCACAGGACTCGGAGGAACACTACTGCTGCAGTTTGAGTGTGGTGTGCCAATGGGTGTGTGCCGGCTGCTTCCTAGAGCACTGTCCACAGGAGTCGTCTGAGCCAGCCTGGAACAGGGGCTCTCACGTGACACGTTCTGAGATCCAGCAATCATTTCAGAGGTGGGCGTTGGGGTTGGGGTAGGGGTGGGAGTCGGGGTAGGGGTGGGAGTGGGAGTATGAATTGGAGTGCTGTTATGGATTGAATGGTAAAAATGTGTGCTGCTTGGGTGGGATGACACAGGAGCTCCTTGAGCTGCTGTCTGACTCTGAAGTGCCATTCCTAGACAGCCACCGTAAGCATGAGAATTATTCATTGACATCTGCTCTTCCATGAGCACGAGCTCCTCCACAATGCTGTCCTGGGTTAGGTCATCATCAAATGAAAAGAAGTTTTCATTTGACTGAGGGACTGTGTGTTCAAATTCTTTCAGCTCAGACTGCAGAGGTAACTGATTTGAAGACTGTGCTTGTATTTGACCCAAGGAGGAGTCCTGGATCTGGCTCTGTAACTGCTGGTTGTACACATCCTGCTGTATACCCTCACAGTGCACTGGCTCCCATGCAGTCTCCTGTAAGTCACTAGAGCCAGAGTGTCCTGCAATAGTCATAACACTGATATCTTGCTGCTGTTCACAATTCACAGATGCAAAATCAGAAGTTTTGGTGATATGGTGCCACGCGTTTGGGTTAAAGCTGCCATCAGATTTTGAATCACTTTCTATAATAAACATGTTTCCTTCCAATTTCACTTTTATATCTGGAGATGATGCTGATGCAAGCTGCTGTTCTAAAGTAGAATCACTGGCATTTAAATCAGCGCTCAAAGAACAGTCTGTCACTAAGTCTGCTGGAGCTGCAGAAGGTACAGGTACATTTACAGGTACCTTGCTGGGAACTTGAACAAGTGTGGTATTGTCACTGTTAGCTAATGATACGACCTTTGGAACCTTTGTAACACTCTCTGCTTTTGGACTCTCCTCAGCATTACCAGCTGAAAGCTGCCCCACCAGTGGTTTCTTGACAGGTGGTACCTGGGAATCCTGAAGCGTAGAGGGTTGTCGCTTTCTTGGACTTTTAGTGCATATTTTGTCTTTAATTGAAGACTCACCAGTAGGAAGTGAATCAATGCTGGTGCTGGACAAGTTGTGACTGGCAACAGAGAGCTTTAGAGCGCTTTGATTATTGCCTGCTGAAGAAACCGGTGTGATCTCATTGGACTGCATCTTGTATTTGGTCCCTGCTTCTTCAGCTCCCTGATCACAGCCCTTAACTGGTTTTGCCTCCACGACACCGTCAGCTGAAACCTTCACAGTTGCAACCTCAAAATTAATCTGTTGAGCAGGAGGCAGGTCAGGGGTTGCCTTTATGGATTTAGACGTGTCAGAGCTCTCCTGGCCCTGTACTGGGTTCTCATCCAGCAGTCCTTCTGGTTCCATTTTGATCTCAACTGCAGATGCAGCTACAACAGTGCTAGGTTTGGATCCTGGAGACTGAAGTGAAACAACAGAACCACTTTTGATCTGTGGAGTAGTCCTCCCTTCTTCCACTGCTCCTGCACTACTATTAACTGAAGGTGTCTGTTTGACGGGCACACTGCTGCTGCTTGGGGCAAGAGATATTGCTGTCATTTTTACCACATTTAAGGAATTCACGTGTGGAGCTGGCACAACAGTCTTGATTGGGCTACTGGTAAAAAGCACCGTTGTGGGAGAGCGGATGGTGAGAGCACTGGTATTTGCTGGCTTTGGTAAGATCTGTGGGTAGCGATGTCGGGCAGAGCGGTCACCAACTGGGCTGGCAGGAACGTTCTGGGGAGTCTTTGGTGACTGCTTGACTGATTGCATGTGCTGAGTGACCACCTGAACATTGAGTGGCAGGACCTTGTTGTCAGATGATCCCATAGGACTTGGAGATGTCACCAATTGCCTGGTCCTTGGCACCTGTTTAGAGAGAAAAAGAAATGGTGTGGCAATGAAGCAAGGAAGTCCCCGAAGCCTACAGACCGCTCCATACGTTTCAAAGATTAAGAACATAACACACCAAAGTGTGTACACCAGCAAATGTCATTTCAAAACAAAGCAAGCTCTTCGACTGCTTCAAGACAAGCGACATGTCTGCCTACGACTGGTAGATATGAGGATTCAATGTTTAAGGTATGCCTTTAAGGCACTGGTCTACACATTACTCTGCTCTTCTACTAATGAAAGAGTTATTCTCATGTAGATCTTCACTAAGTGGAACCAAAGACAGAAATACAAAGGATAAACAGAGGATGTGTTCAAAACTACTGATTCTCAATATTTCAAAATCAAATGCAAGCTGAGTATTAATAGCCCTTATCTACTGAAATAAACAATACAGCTAATGCCTTAAGAACAGATAACCTTCCTCCCAATCTTGTTTTCTGTGTCTAAAAGACAAGGAAGTCCCATATTACAGATTTCATGCAAAATTAAAATTGTTGCTGTCACTAAATCCACCAGGCCAATGCAAATCAATTTAGATTCTAAATGAGATGGCTCAGTGACCCACATGACCTGTAGACTTTCCCATCTGGTTAAATTCATCTCAAGAGTAATTATTTCCACACAATCTAAATTATTGCTAGCTGAAATTCCACTGTCATTGACTTCGAAGATGAACTTGGCCTATATGATGTGATCAGAATTCTGCTGCCTCTTATTCCTAATTCAGTCATACTATTATACCAGTCACTGAGACAGAAAAGAACCGAGGGATTCAAGTCTGAACAGAAACCATATTTTCATCCCACTGACACCACTGCTTAGCTAGGGGCCATTTTCAGTCCTTTCCTAAGTTGATTTCTCAAGAGAACTTAAGAGAACTGTTGGAGAATTACCGGTATCGGGCTGGGGACAGCTGCCACAACAATGCCAATAGGCTGAGGAGACAGAATCGCAGGACTTCCATTAGATATACTAGTTACACCATTGGTTGTGGTGCCTTCTGTTTTCTTTGCTGGAGACTCTCCTGGCAAAGGAGACTGCAGTTTCTGTTCTTGCTGCTTCTTCTGGATCTTACGCTGCAGCTGCTGCTTGGCATCAACAGGAGATGACAGAGTTTTCACTTGTGGTTGAAAGGAATTGCTTTCAGCAGTAGGTATAAAAGCTGAGGGCTGGGGGATCCCTTTTATTCCTGAATATAAAAGAAGAAGAATTAATTACAACAACGTATACATCTGTATCCAGCTGCACAGATACACGGCAGGCACTTCCATAACCATTCAGTAAACATCTCACCCGTGAGAGCATTTCATATTCAGCTCTCCTCAGTGTTTCAGTTTCTTTCTACATTTGAGGCAAAGTCTCTCTCTGTTAAACAAGCTGCACACTAGCTGCTAAGTACTGGCATCTTGTTTCTAGTAATCCCAAATAACAACTTTTGTTTCAGCAAAATCTAAAACCAATGCATTTCATTTAACTGACAGTAGAGGGCAGTGGATATGTTTCAGATGAACATTTAAAATTCATCATCTACCACGTTTTTGTTTTTGTTATCCGTACTGAAAGCAGTTTTAAAATCTTTCCAGAAAGCCTTTGTGTCACAAAGGAGCAGCTCTGAAAAGATGATATCTGCATGTAATGCCGGAATGGATCACATCCAGTGTGTGAACAGTGAAAGAAGGGCAAGAAGAGAAGTGACAAGGGAGAAAACCAATCAATCAGAACCATTTTAAGGGCAATTATTTGTGTTTAGATACCCAGTATCTGTTCAGCAACTGTCTTCTGGTAGTCCACCCTCCCAGCAGCAGCCTGCATGTACCAAGAGAGCTCAAACACTGCAACATCTCCACTTTATGCTTTCAATTCCTTCTTCACAGAGCAGTGGAATGCGCCAGTGTATTGCAATTACTGGCAAAATTACTGGCAAATAAGTGACCTATGTGGGCTGAATATTGAATTTATTAAAAAAACAAAAAACAAAAACCCCACAGCCTTACACTTGAGATTAAAAGCTGTTTTTCCAGACAGTGACATTGTAGTTCCTTGCAATAATGAGGAATGCAAATATCTTATTTGCCATTCTAGACCACAGAACCTCTCCTGAAATGACTGTCCACGATGCACTCCAAGCCCCCCAGGGATTCTTTGGAAATAACTGCCCACTTCCTGGAAGCACCACCTTCTTTTGAAGGAGTAAAGGGAGGGAAGCTACGTGAGTCAGAATGCTAGACATATATCCAGATTTCCTCCTGGCAGCTAAAGAAGAAAAGCAATGACAATCAGGAACTGTCACCATCAGCTGTCAGTTCCAAGCTGGAAAAAAAAATCCATGAGGAGGAAGAAAATGATCCAGCATGATCCAATCTTCAGCCCTGGCCATCAGTCTCCATTTGAAGTTCCAGTCTCAAACCAATAGATTTGTCTTGGTTCAAACACATTTTCCTAAATAAGCCTGAGCAGAACTTCTCTGAGGGAAGTTGGAGAGAGATGTTGTACAAGTGAATTTCCCTCATCTTTCACTGTTGTAAAGGATCACACACACACAAAATATCTATAAATGATTAAATAACTAATTCTGAGAATGATGGGAATGTAAAAGCAGATGTAAAAATGACATAATGCACAAGCTTTTTCAGAGACTGAACACAACAGGTATTACTCTGATGTAGCAAAAGTACAGATAAACCCCCCTCTTTAACTTCAAGTCAAGTGCTGGAATCTCAGTCACACAACTGACTGCAAAGGCCCTTCTGTCTCAGAGGGGCTCTCAGAGCCCCTCAAACCCTTACTTCTAAGATGAAGAATTTAAACAAACACTGATGTGGTGGTGTTACTACCTTACAGAGATCAAACATTTCAGGAAAATTTGCATCTGACATACCAGAAATGCTGGAAGGAAAATCTGCTCTAGAGAAAACGGAAACAGATAATTGTTTCCGGATTAAGACAAGCTCTCAGAGAAACACAACTACATCAGCAGCATGACTACAAAGCCCCACTATACTGGCCCCAAAACCCAGATGAAGTGAAGTACAACTCAATACAATTACTCACATACTGAAAAGTAGCAACTCCTTTGAGTGCTTTATAAGATCTGCATCCTCAACAGAGAAATTGGAGAAAACCACAGAATCAGTTTGGGAAGACAGGTTTTTCCATCCAAGTTCCACATGCAATTACTGCAGGCTGTCTCCCAGGAATCACCAGTCAGCTACTGACAGCACTGCACACACCTTCCTGCCTGTGGTGCAGCAGATGCTGATCGGAATGGGCCAGGATGGACTAGAAGACCCAAATCCTGACTGCTTACACTCACAGATTAACTCCTACTTTTCATTACCTCAGAGAACATAAGCTAGAAAACTGATTGGAACAAGACCACTCAGATTCATTTCATTAATTATTTACTTGACACAGGATTTCTTGCTTCAATTTCTCTGTTGCTAAGGTGTTTACTCAACTGTAAGCACTTCTAGAGAAGTAATCAGGTTTCCAAAGTCTTCTGAGTGACCAGACCCCAGACAACCTATGGTTCAGACTGACTGTTGTTGTATCGTCACCTCAAGGCCAACTGAGACTTCCCCTCCTTCAGGTAGTGAGCACTTTTCAAGAAACACAACTCTGTTTTGTAAGACATTCATACCCCCAGTCTTTAGAACGAAACTATTAATGTGAATCTAAACTGCAGCAAAAGGTTGTCAAACAGATGACAGTGACGCAAAGTAACCTCAGAGCATGAAAGGCTAACATCACAAAATAAACCTGAAATCACTCTTTCTTTTCACATCTCTCTATGCAGACTACCAGCAAGAAAAGAGTTTACAGCAACGTGAATGGAAATAATGTAAATGCATCTGCAAGACTCAACTGGTGTCACTGTTTAAAGTCTGCCCTGAAAAGAAATGCTTCTTCAGAAATATTACTGACACGGTCAGCAAAGGACTAAGCCATCATTCCTCACTTCAGCTAACACTCATGGGAGAGGACAAGAACAACATGACCTGAACCAGGATACATTCCCGCTCAGAGCAGGGAAGACAAGATGCATCAATCCCTAATGGTCCAGGACTGCCCAGCCACCTTTCTACTCTTTCTTGCCACACAGATAAGACTAAAAGAATTCCCTCCCACTCTATGGGACCACTATGTTACTTCAAGGAAAGAAATTCCCACTGATTCAGAACTCATTACCTGCTGGTGCCCCTGCCATTACAGTTAAAGCTGCCATTGACTTGGTACCGATGTAGTGACTTTTGACAAGAAAACGAGCCAGTTCCAAGACTGTATCAAAAGGCTGGCTGAGCACTTTCTGGGCCCACTCACAAACAAGCCGGCAGGCTGCAGAGACAACTTCCTCATCAGCACTTTGTAGCTGTCCAGATGGCTCTGTCCCATCCAACTAAAACAAACAAAGAAGGTTACTTCAGTAATTGAACGTTATTGAAGAGCAAAAACAAGAAGAGTACAGAGCAAATGATGATGAGAAACAAGCAAGTTGAGTAATTATGTTCACATACTTCCATGAAATTGGGAAAACAAGTTCACAACATCAGCGGTGTTAAAAATGAAGCATTACTGCTTGTTTCCAAAGGTGCTATATGGAGCTGACTTTTCCAGAAGAAAATGAGTGAAAATACTAACATTCAGAGCACCTGCAGCTGATTCTCCCTACATCCATCGTCTTATCAACTCAGCAGTCATTTACACAGGAACTGCTTCTTTCACAGGAGTTCCTCGATGCTGAATTATTATTTTAAATATACAGTAAAACCATAACAGGATCAGAGTTAAAAACCATAGCATCAGCATTCTCTATGAATTTGACAGAATCACCAAACAATAATTCAGAAGCTGAGCACCGTAAAGAAAACATTAAGAACTACACAGCTTTTCAATTTGCTTTAAAAACTTCAGATTGTAAAAATAACATAATAAATGTTAATTTGCACAAACATATTTGAATAAGCAAATATATACCATACCCCATCTCCAGTTTTATGAAAGTCAAGGTTGGGCAGTGTTGGCATATGCACAAAAGCCTTCTTCCTCAGTCCACTGTAGCAATATGTGATCAAGAATTAAGGTCTACATAATTTCTGTTTGTTAGCTGGGGGTAGGGAGGTAGAGCAGTAATTCCTCCCATACTTCTCATCTGCAAACGCGCCAAGAAATCTCAAATTTAGTGCTATTAGTGCTATAAGCTGGCATTTTCCACAGCATATGCTCTGACTTCTTCATACTGGCTGCCTATTAGCTGAAGGGCTAATCTATCCCAGCATGTAATTGTGTATTGCTCCACCTTAACAACATGTCTACCTACACTATCACATCAAATTTCGGGGTACTTCAGGCTTTCCAATAAGTTACAACTAAACAGGTACTATTTCTGCATGCCCTCTGGGATGGACTATTTCTCTACCATGGGTAAGAAAGAAAGGAAGGAGATTTCAAGTCCAGGCACAGGCAACAAGACTGCAGTCAATGGAGAGAGGAGGCGCTTCCCATCCTAGAAGCTCTTGCTCTAAATTGTCTTTCCTATTTCAGGAGGTCTGCTCCATGCAATGAAGAAAGCAGTCTCTCCCTTTCCCACTGCAGGACAACTCACAGGTAAGCACCTTCCAAGTCTGAAATCAGCTTTTTTGGCTGCTTCCTAGTTGTCCTCTACCCTCCTTCAAACTATGGGTTGAGGAGGTGTAGTTTTAACAAAGATCTGTAGAACCTCTCAAAGATCTTTGGCTTTACAGCCAACTTTTAAATTACTGGTGTGCACAAGTATAATGCAATGAGAGCAGAAACATTTTGATAATTGTGAATTCTACTAATAGAGTATTAGTTACTGCATATATGGGAGGCGAGTTCTTTTACTCCAATATCCCTCTTTACACAAAGTGATACGACTCCTCTGCTTCCTTGCTGCTGTGACAATTAAGCATTAAAACCCAGAAAGACAGTATAACCTATATTTACCTTCCAACTTAATGCTATAGTGATTAACAATTTTTTAAGAATTTTGGGAAAGTGTCTGCATTTTTTTTATTTAACACTGCTTCTAGATTTGGCTGATAATTAAGCCATAATGGCAGATGTTCTCCAGGCAAGTGCAGAAGTTACTGAGAAGTAGCAAAGGATATTTTGATTTGCCTCTCGTGCCTAGACGACGAGCCTTCATATTCGGAAAGACATTTTTCATTATCTTTCCAAAGTCAGCAGCACTTAATGGGTGGTAGCCAAGATTGTCACAATAGCTCCTGCAAGAAAGAGAAATAAAATGTGAATGGAAGCAAAGATAATACAAAAGGCCAGTCTACATCTCAGACTCCATCAAAGGTTATCAAAAGAAAACACTCAAATCCATCCATATTTAGAATCACATATAACATTAATGAAGCTATCCACAACGAACTGAATACATTAAAAATGTATACACAGAGCTATTAATACCATAGCTTTTGCCTTGTTCTCTACTGAGTTCAAAGACAAGTCATGTGAAGATTTAACAAGTAGTGGCATTAACTGGAGCACAGTTAAAATATACTCCGTAACTTAGTCTCAAGTTCATGCTTCAATTCACTTATTTTAGGACCCAATAAAGGCAGTGACATTCTCTAGCCAGAAGTATGGCTTGAGCGTGGTAAGGCCTGAAGTCCTGCAGGAATATGGTCAGCGATCTGTATGTGTCCAGACAAAGATTCTCATACACAACTGCAACTTAATAGAGCTCAACTGAACTGAATTTAATGAAGCATATCTTTCCATAGAACCAGCTTTGTCTTTATAGGGCTAACAGGAACATGTACTGAGAACTTTGTCCTCTTACTACTGTACAAGCAACTATCTGCCCACACTGAACTGTAAGGTCTGTTTACAGGCACCCTTACTTTAATTAAGAGCTCCGAATTAACAGATTTCAACTGCCTCTGCATGTGTAGATGTGTTTATCTTCATATAACTAAGTATATCAACCTGGTAACAGGAAAAAAAAGGCACCAAAAGACCTCATTTTGTTAAATTCACTGTTCTACTAAAATGGGCACCATTATCTATCTAACACTCAAAGACAGCAGGAGTTTTGTTTCAACATCTATTCATCTATTGCAATGCCTGAGATACTTAAAAAAATATCTCCTTTAGGCAGAGAATAAGAATCATTCATTTCACTGCAAAACGTGAAAGTTCTGGAAAATCATAATCGTGAAAGCAGAAGAGAAAAAACTGCTCTGGAAGGTTAATCTACATAGCAAACGCTTAAGGCTGCACAAAGATATGAACAGTATTACATATTGACTTTTGTTCCAAGTGCTTTGTGGTATTTCACAGATGTCATCATGCTCAGGCCCAAAAACAAACAGTAAAAACACTCATTCAGGTTTCCTAAGGTCAGAGTCAGCACCATAGCAATGCCCTCTTTTCCTTGAGAGGTCCTGAAAGAAACACACAAAACCAACCTATCTCTGAAAAAGGGGAGGTGACTGTATACAGTTCTGTGTGGACATGACAGCAGGAGAGTAGGAAAACAATCACTTCATACACCACACTGCCCACTGCAATAAGAGGGATGCACAGAGGCAAATATATCACTGCTCATCAAGGAAGAAAGAACAAAAGGGAAAAACTCCTGAAATAGAAGTTTCACTCCCGGCATCACCTGGCAAAAACAGTAACGATTAGCAAAGGCATTTGAATCTAAGAAGGCCAGATGAAAGGTCTTCTCTGAAAACTGTAGCAGTATAGAAAGTAGGATATGGTTTTGAGGTACTTCCACTGCATTTGTTTCCTCTGTGCAAATAGCGGAGCAGGTATCTTCTGCTTTCACCTTGGCTGTATGTAGGTATCTTCCATTTGGGAAACACCACCACAAACGTCATGATTTTGTTGATGAACAGCAATGCTTACACTATTTGCTTCTAACATTACCCTACAGAGCTTCTGCACCCCTCACTCTCCCCAGCTCTGTCCAAAACAAATGCTGCTTTCACCCCTGTACAGACAGCTGTGAGCCACGAGACAGAGAAACCCAGACTTTTCTTTCTCCCTCCAAAATGCAAAAGCAAATGCAGTGTAGTTCAGATGGTAACTCTCCACAACAACAGTGACAGACCACAGGAAAAGGAGCTGTCAGTGGCTGTGGAAGCTCCACCCTTGAAGCATCACAGACAAATCTGAGTGGGGAGGGTGCTCGGTAGGACTTCAAACACCAGCCCAAGGCAGACTCAGTAAAGCAGGCCACTCAAGGCTTTGCCCAGTCAGGTTCAGAAAACAGGTAAAGATGTTTCATGTCCCCTTCGGGCTGGCCTTCTAATATTTGATTTTCCTCATTCATAAATTATCTGAATGAGGCCCTATGGAACACCATGAGATGTCAGTGTCAAACCCTGCTTTCACTGAGGAGCTGGATCAGGTAACTCCACAGGATTCCTCCAACCAGTTCAAGTTTCTGTATCAGATACAAGGAAAATTTGTACCCAGTATTCATTTCAGTGCATGCAAGTCACAGCATCTGGATTCCAGATTTGTTCCTTTAACATTAATACAAAGGAATACTTCTGCTTTCCTGCACCTTCTTAGGAATTAAGTCACTGCTTCATGCACAGCGGTGTCCTAGACAGGTCTCTCTGCTTTTTTGTTTTTGTTAAATCCTGCATTTCGCCAAGCTCTGTTGGATTTTAAGTTTCCCCTGAAAATTCCTAAAAGGCAGGTCCTTGTCACTTACTGATGCTGATTACAGGCCTTGAAGTCTCAATTACTGCCTAAAGGAGGGCTCTCCAAATTCCTCTGCTGTAGTCAGCAGAATCTTTGACTGAAATTCGACAATGTCAGCAAAACAAAACCTTAATCGTGTTGGTTTGCTACCAATCAATGAACTTTTAAGTTAAAATTATTCCCTCTCCAGGAAAATAAAAAAATAAATAGTTCCTCAAGTGAAGCACATCTGTTTCAAGACAATTACTCGCTAGCAGCAATAAACATACAGTTACATGGTTCCCCTGTATCAACATTTGTATTTTCTGCAAGACTGTGATTTCTGAACTAATATTATTATCATGTAATTTCAGTTTTCAGACAGATCGTTCCACACGGCCCCTCCTCCTTCTGCCTTGGCTGAGAATCCTACACGTCCATCTGTGATCTCTCATTGACTTGAGAGCAGGAGTTTTTTCCTCCCCCGAAGCTCTTATCTCTGCCACTTGCACTCTTGGCACATCGTGAACTCCAGGTGCTGCTGTGCTTATTTCAAGGGTGGGTGGGGAAAAAAAACGGGGGATGGGCAGTCTACACAGAGACCAGAATGACAATGGACACATGATTGCCTATGTTCCTTCGTACAGAGCTCCCCAGCACAGTATGCTGGACAAGAAAAGTCCTTTCTTTGGTAAGATTTTCAAATTAAATGTACTTAAGACATAGAATACAGTGGGAACACACTTAAATTAATCCTCCAAAAAGATCAACTAACTAAAAGCCAATGAAGACAGTCAGACTAAGCAACTCAGCTTACTTAGCATTCTGGGCCAAGAACTGGATAAAATGGTGATGACAGACTGCACTGAGACAGAAGGGTCACAGCAAGTCTGTGTACACAGCCATTCAAAAACAGCCTTGAAAAGAAGTGGTATAATCACCTAATTCTGTAATATTTGGAGGCATCATTAAAACAAAGTGACTGGGGTGTTACAAAGAAAACAAAATGATTTGACACAAGAACAAAAAAAGATGAAATAGTTCAAAATGCAAAACAGTGCACAAGAATTAACAAGTGCTACTGCTGTGAGGTATGCACTCATCAACTAGAGGTGGCAGAATATAAAATGGATCTGTTAGCCATCTTGTTATTATTTACAACATATCCATCACAGCTCATAACAAGGTGGATGCAATTTTACAGTAAAAACAGCAGCATTATGTGAAGGGAGTTTCAGTCTTGCTGTATGTACAGGCAAAATCACACACAGAACATTGTACACACTTTACTACTCTGTTAGCTCTGAGTTCAATACAAGATGACTGCTGATGACAAGGTGCAAAATCATTATGAGTAGTAACTAAAAGAGACCTATTGCATGAAACAAAACAAAAATCTTTGCTTTCCAACCCACCCAAACAACTGCTTTCTAATAAATGGGTTGGAAGAAAGAACTTTAGGAAGAGGTAGGCTCTTTAACTGATGAACACACCTGTCACAGAAGAAAGTTCTAGAACATCAGGTAGGATGGAAAAGATGTCTGAAAACCAAAGAAACAGAATTCCTCATCAGGTTCCTAAGAGTAGTGAGAGAGCTGAGAAACTACTGCTTTAGATTGAGCTTGATCAGCTTTTAAAAGGAGTACATAGGTAGCTGTCTATGACAGAAGACTCAAAAACACAATAGGTTCCATCCTGTTTCTATCAGGGAGCTTTACAGAATGTCAGTTAAAAGCATCTTGTGTCTTTCATTTGTTTAATCTACATAGTATTTCTACACTTACTTCCCTCTTCTGTTCTGACTTCTGAATATTCTAACTTGTTTGTTAGCATTCTTAACACCTAGTACACATACAACCTATGCATCAGGTGGCATCAAGCAGCCCAACAGCCAGTAAGGCAAGGATTAATGATTTACAGAACAGATGAAAGAAATGGAGGCTCACTCTAAGATCTCTTTATCGGTATTACATGCATGAAGTGAATCTTTAGGACACCAAATATGGACAATATGACTTCCTTTCCTTGTGTCACTTGCAGTAGCAGCAATGTAGGTAGACCCAGGTGCTTGCTGAAGACAAACAAGCACTCTTTTCTGCGTACTGCCAGACTCAAAATCTTCATTCTCTAAACTCAGCTCACTCTACATCTGGGAGCTTTCTGAAGGGTGTTCACTAATAGGAAAGATGCCAAAGATACCTAAGTAAAAGATTTTGTGGGAAGCAGTATTTATTCTCTGCAGACTATATAATGTGGTAGGCAGCTCATCATGAGTCCCCATAATATTTTCCAGGTGGTATTCCCCTATCACTCCCAAAGAAAGCTGGCAGAAGTACCACACATGTCCAACAGCTTCTCACAGCACAGCATATCATAGTGCCAACAAGAGATGTGCAACAGCTTTCATTTACCTCCTTCCTGAAATTCAGCTGCAAGCTTTCAACCTTACCATGGGCTTATATTATGATGCATTTCTCATTTATTTTACCCCTTTCAAGAAGTCAATGTACCCATTCACTTTTACTTAGAGATGTGAAACTGCAGTTAAAGACTAAGGAAACAGAAAGAAGGATCATTGTATTGAACTAGTTCAGAGACAAAGGGCTACTGAAACATGAAGAAGTTGGAAATGCTACTGACACTTGCCAATGCTTGATTTGTGGAAAGGAAGCTTCTGTTTTTCTCTCTCCATAGAAAGAAACACAAAGGTAATGGAGAAGATCAGTATTTTTCTAACATCAATTTTGACCAAAATTTACAGCAGGACTTGAGGCACTGTTATGATGCTGCAATCTTTTGAAGCCTTGCAACTTTGGTTTATGTATGCAGAATGTGAGCTCATGCAACATCTCTATTTGCACAGGGAGGAGAGAAATTGTTAATAGTAAATAAGACAGAAGTAAAATTTGAGAGGACTTAACATCCCTAGGTAAACAAAAATGATCAAAACTAACTCATCTATTTATATGCCTTGTTCCCCTCTTCCCACACCAAAGCTATTCTTCCTTTGGTGTGCACAAGAATAGCTCATAAATACACTCACAGAAACAAAATTCTTAAAAATGGAACAGATGCTTTCAAAGGAGAACAGATTCCAAACACTTGATATTTTCCTGAATATTTGCTTGCCACCCTTATTTTGTCAGAAAAAAACCCACAATACACAAATACTCGATACAGCTATATACAAAAGCCATCCAAATTTCACACTCAAATCTGTAGACGATAATTTTTCTGGGCATCTGCAGCTTGGCACAGCATGGAAGCCAAGCAGACAATAAATTATTAAATAAGAAATATATTTAAGAACAACGCTTCCATTTCTCTGCTGCACAGCAGCTGCTGCTGTTGCTGAGTCTGTGTGAGCAGCTCCTGCTCAGGGATTGGCTGCCCTGCCACATCTGTGCTATTGGCTACGTTTCCAGGCTGCGTCACTATTCAAGTCAATAGTGAGATTTCAGAAATAGGTGTGTGCATGTTTATCAACCCCAGGCAAGCTAATGCCATCGTGCTTCTGTTCAGTCAGAAGACAGACAAAAACAACCTCTACCAGAGAGAGTTAATTAAAATGAGGTATTCGCATAATGCAACGCTGCAATAACAACTAAGGGCTGAATCCTGCAGGCACTTGTGAGGTGAAGGGAGTCAGCTCCTTGCAAATTATTGTAATCATCTAGATTATGGAAATATTCATACTAGATCATAGATCTGTTATTCATCTTCAGGCATTTGGGATTTTTTCCCTTTGGGGAATATTCTCTAAATAAATTCAAATCCAACTTCCATCAAGCATCTTGCTCTCCCTTGCTTCTAATTGCTTTCTCATTACACGGTAGCTTTGAGACTTGACAAAACAGACTCACAGTGGCCTTGGTTACTGTTTTCATGCATATTCAGAAATATTGTGTCTCTGCAGAAATCAGGTTTGCTGCAGTAAGTCCAGGATTTGCACATTATTCTGGAGAGAAAGGTACGACTGGCTAGACCTTACAACCAAAAATCCACCTTTCCAGTAGGAACAATTCAGCTCTTTATCCTCATTAAGACAGTCACTTACATATATATGTACATATAATTGGACTAAAATGTACTGTAAAATAGTAACTGGTGCTTTTTCCTTGTGCCACTCTGCTCAGAAAATAAAACGCACACTCATACTGAAATTTTCTTGTTAAGGAATATTTGTCTATTTATTTCAGCACAGATAATGCACAATTTGAACAGCACGATCCTATCTTCAGCAGCAGAAATACTGAATGCACCTCACTGCAGCTAGTATGCTCTTAGTTACACAGGTACTGAAGGCCTCATTCTTCCATGTGCACTTGTATGTGTACAGCAATGGAGCACCTGTAGAGCCAGTGTAACAGAACTACTTAGAACTTGCTAAAGCCATACGTATGAACTCAGTTTAGGAACACTCACTTGTACTCATCATAAACCTCCTGTTTGGGAAGGGATGTCTCGGGGTGCTCTTCCAAGGTATTCCGTATCCAAGAGAAGGCGTGCATCTGCTGCGCACGGCTGGACGACATGGAGATCTGATCACTAGTGAAAGAAGAAACAGCTCTGATGAAGGTTTTACTCTGTGGTTCCTCCTCTGTTACAACTGCCTGCTTACACAAGCAGACAAGTGTCAGAGACAAGAAGAGTCAGTACCTCACTACTCAGCTACCCTTTAAGGCTTTGGAAGGAATACCTCCCTCCTTCCTGTATGACTTAACAAAATAATTCCAGACTCTCCTTCATGACTGATAAAAAGCTACACACAGAGAGTGGTGAGCCACAGTGCACCTGTCTCCTCTCTTACATTGTTTCTGCTGACCTCAAAGGTTTTCCCCACTAAGTCTGCTAACTGCTTTTGCACATACTCAGCAAACAGAGTGCTTCCTGTAGGCATGTGTCTGTCTATAATCACCCTACTGGGAACAGATACAAATTTCATGATGTTGTCATCTTCAGATTGGTTTTCTAGGTCCTCCTTTAATCAAACAAACCCTTCAAGAAATACCACTTGTTCTTTTCGCCACCACCAAATTAGCATTCCTATAACACTTTCTACATAAAATGTGAAGGAACGATCACACTGCAAAATATACTTTTCAATGGGCACCTCATTTTAGGATGTTTATACTTAAAAGATATTCAAGAAGTCAAGATTGAAAAATTTAAGGTCTTCAGCAAAAAATAAGTTCTTAACATTTGATAAAGACACCTTCCACTATCAAACACACCATATAAATGCCTGTCTAGTAGGTAAGTGCACAGAAAGTTAAGTAAATTTACAGTACTAGCTGCTCACCTTTACATACAGCCACACACCTACCTTTTGTCTCCATTGTTGGGACCCGAAGGCAGCTGAAGGTAGAGGTAGAGTTTCTCTAAGTCTGTAAACTTCTCAACTTCTTGCTGGATAACAAAGGTATTTTGGTTAAAAACAAAAGGAGATGAGGAAAGAAAAAGCAAACAGTAGAAGTGGAGCTTGACAGTTAACAACTGTCCAGCACTGTATTCCAAAAGAATGCATTTTTAAACCTAAAGGATAACACTTATGTGAAAAAAAAACATTACTGTGAGCAGTGTGGGCCTAGAACTATGATATTCTATTTGCACACCCCTGCATGCTAGAAAATAATGGTCCACAACACCAGCTCTACAACACTGTTGCAAAACTCATGCAACAAAAGCAAAACGTGGAGAAACTACAGTAACAGAGCACTTCTGTAACCTTTCCTTACCTTCTCCAAACACATATGAAGCCCTTCTGAGCATACAGCATCAAAAAACAGCTACACTATAACAACATAGGCCTGATCCTGTGACACACAGCACTCTATCAATAGCTGTGCTGCAGAATTCAGCTAAGATTTTTCAATATATGTTATTTCCTTCCTTCAGAAATCAATTACTGCAGAGATACTCAACAGAAGCCATTCAGTTACCACCAAACCCCATGATGCTCAACTCCCTCTGCAGAGGAGGCAGTCGAGGGTCAGACACAAGAGGGAGTTGCACCTGTGCTTGCCTCTGGTCATCTAAGACCAGCCATAGGAATCTGAAATAGCCAGTCTGCTCAGCAGCAGCAGGAGTTAAGCCATGCAGTAAGGAGTAAATGAGTTCTCTCTCAGGAAGATGCTGCAGAATCAACACGTGATGTGTTGCACCACCAGTACAGAGGTTAAAATGTTGAGAGGAACCTTAAAGCCCACCTTGCTCCAATGCTGCTCCCAGGGGCAGGGACACCCCCCCACTACATCAGGTTGCCCAAGCTTTGTTGCTTTTAGTTCAAAATGGCAAACACCAGAGAAGCACAACAAAGGACATGGTTCAGGGGAGATCAGAGCTAAATCCATGCATCCGTGTAAAACAAACATAACACCCTGATGATTCTGGAGCAGAGGTGAAAAATGGTTTCTTTATTCCAAACTGAACGTGCTACACTGCAACATAAAGAACAGTTTTATCCTTTTATCAGAAAATGAGTAGTTGTCTCAGTGCCCACTGCAACTGAAGCAACTTCTGTCTCCCAGCAGAAGGAAGGGGTTACACACAAGCTCTGTGCGAGCTACAGGGTACAGCAACACAGGCCCCTTCTGACAAGCCCCTGGTTCAAACAAGATCCACTATTTACGTGTATAGAAGAAATCTGGCTGGGATTGTTTTAGCAGTCTTTTTGAAACAGTGCCAGCAAACCAGCAACTCATCAGCAAAATCACATCCCAAGAGCTAAGGCAGCTGAGGACTTTGGCTTTCTCAGTATTCTCAGCAGAGCAAGGCAGACAGTAGCACTGTCCCACTGTTTTTTCCTCAAGCTCCCTCTTCTCCACAGACAGCACTTTCTGCACAACTCCTCCAGCTTTCAGCAATGGCAACATGAAGTCCTGGGGAGACAGGACCTTCTATGGAATGGGGAAAACACAACCAGGATTCAGAAGAAGCTCATGGAGGTAATCCTACCTGGGTGATAATTAGATGAACCTAAGCTTATTAGATGCGACCGAATCTATTTAGAGAAAACCATCTCAAAGCTGAAGAAGTTGCACCAAAGGATGGAATGCAACAGCACGGGTTAGGAAACAGCTTCTGGTTCAAAGCTTCTAAGCTTCCCATTTTGTTTAGGCTGTTTTCCTGGAACATTTCTAAATCTCTCAAAACTTCTTTTACAGCCTTGGTAAGGACAATTTCCCCTCGAACCTCAGCTGAGACCAACCAGTTCTAAGTGGCAAGGCTCCAGTGAGATCTGTAGTAACTGCTACTGTGACTGCTCCAAGTATCAAAACTTTCCCATTTCTTAATGCAATCAGAAAGCATTTGGGCAAGCAGAGGAACATTTCAGCCATCCTACTGACTAAGAATCTCTGACCTGGAGGGAAGACTCATTCATCCTGAACTTCGCCTTGTCTCACGTTGAGTTTATATGAATAAAAACAAAGCACAATACAATACAAAATATACTACAAAAATAGGTCAATATCATATTTGGCAGAAATCTTAATTGTGCATTATGTGGAATGGAGTGAAAAAGAATCAGAGCATTAAAAAGAAGACTACGGTGCTGGCTTGGACAAATTCCCCTTTGTGTAGGCACTTAAAGTTTACGCTACGGTACCTTTATAACACATACAGAATGTAAAATGTCTGGGGAATCTTTGTTGACGACTGAAAAGGATCTAAGTAAACATTTGCTTGAAGTTACCTGACCTTCATTGACTGGTTCTAATCAAATCAGATAAAGAACATCTTATTCTCCAAAAGTTATTTATAAACCATAACTTCTTGGAGCTGCATTAGAAAGATGCACAGGGGTGCTAAACTGGTTGCATGACTGAGGTGTGAAGCCACCACAAAGCACCACTCTGCTATTCTTGGTCTTCACACATTATATTTATCTCCTGTAATTGGAGCCACATCAAATGAAGAAAGATTCAGTGAAGATGGGGAGTAAACAGCATTCTTAATTAGTCTTACAATTTGGCTTCAGCTTAACCAGAAAATACACTGAATATTCAAAATATCTTACTGATCATAGACAGAAAAACTATGGACAAAGAACTAGAAACTTCAAGTCACAGACAAATAGCCTTTCAGTAACATACAAAATAACAGAAGTCTCTGGTATTTGTCTTTGTTTTGATAGTCACCAAAGATGGACAAATCCACCAAATAAATGCCCAAATATGTAGCAAATAAACTACAGATCTGCCTATGTTTGTGCATCAGCAGACATACAGATCTGGTCCAACTGATTCAGTCCTTCAGCTGCCTAAGAATGATATGGAATAAGGACCTCTAGGAATGGAGAAGCTTGCTCCTAGCAGACTTCTTGCATGAGTATACAAGCTATACAATAACTGGGCTTTAATTCACCTTCTGAAATTGTATTTCATATCTAGTTCTATTGTGACATTAAACAAACACTAAAATTTTTCATGGCACAAAAAAACCCCAAAGATCAGTTTAACATTGAATGCAGATAAGAAATTCATTCGTGACACAGATAGACAGAAATACAAATTAACCATATTTGTGCTTCAACTGGAGAACCTGATTTCACATTGATTCTCCAGAATCACTCAGTACTGCTTAATGATTCCTGACCTTGCTGGAGTGGGTATTTCTATCTGGGTTTCTGCAACTGTTGATCTGGCAGATCAGAAATGTTACTGAACGTTCATCTGAAGACATCAAAATGAATTACCATGGGAAACCCCAGATCATTCGTTTGTTTGTTTTTTTCCTGGACTTTTTTTTTTTAAGAAGAAAAGATTTAGGGCCAAGTTTAAAATAACACGGCAGAATACTACAGTAAGTAACAATTAGCAGAGTTACAATTCTTGAATGCTGAAAAACATCATTCAAATTTCCTATTGCTACAATGAAAGTAGAATTACAGTTATTTCTGTCCTTGAATTCTAGTGAAGATGAGTTGAGGGCTGGGGCATTGCTGCAAGCTTTCTAAAATACTACTATTTTAGAGATCACGGACTGGTCCCAAATTCCCTATTTTGTGCATTTCCATGTAACTATATTTGAAGTAAAAGAGGCAATGCAACTTGCATCTACTAGCAGACTGGTTTTAAAACTTGTCATATTTCAAAAGAACAAACATCTATTATTTAACAACCAGACTAAGAATAGCAGATTAGTCAAGCAATCATCTCCCTACTGTGCAAAGAGAGAAACAAGAAGCAAAGGTTAAATAATTTGCTCAAGGTCAGAGGCTTTGCTGAAAATACGATCAAGACAGAAAATAGCAAATAGTTGAAACGGAACCTATTTTTCTAAAGAGCTGCTAATAAACATATTTGATATGCTTTCTCCGAACAGAAGCTGAAACATATTTCAGGTGCTAAATATTCCAAACAAGCCCTAAAAATACATGGCAGCCTCGTAATGACAGCCGCCAAGTACATCTGCCAAAGCTGCATACAGCTTCTGCCTGTTTCCTGAAGGGCCAAAAAGCGACAAGCTGCCACCTTCTCTGCAGTGGGACTGAAGCAGGCTGCTCCAGCAGCAGTTCGCACACATTGCTGCCTCCTGCACTGGAATTGTTCAGGCCATCAGCAGCTTTGGCTTTCACAGCCATTGATCCAGCAATCTCTCACCACCAGTGCTGATCTCTTTTCTGAGGACTACGGAAAGAAACCTTAACCTACTTGCTAAGGAATTACGTGGGGCATACCGTTCTTTAAATCAGGTTCAAGAGTTCACTTCGTATGTGGCAACAAATGCAACAAGCAAAGTCATAAGAGACTTCCAGACATGTTTACTACAGTTAAAAAGATGTTACAATGAATTTTTAATGGCTGTTTACACCACAGTTCTTGCTAATTACCTCTTTTTTTGGGATTGCACAGCATACGATGTTCTTATGATCTTCCAGAAGCTGACAGCACGTCACCGAACGTAAATGGTGCAGTATAACAAGAAAAAGGCAGATAACTTTGGTCTCTTGTATGAATAAAATTGGCAGTTCTGGTGCGAAAAGTTACACTTTTTTCTATACTGCTCTGATGCTAGCTACCTCCACAACAGAGACCATGACCCTCACCTTTCCTTCTTCCATTTTTTCTCTCTTTTTTCCCCATCTCCTGCTGTATTAGGCAGCCAATGTCCTAAGGAACATTTGTGTGCTGCTTTGGCACACTGTGGCTGTGACTGCTGCTACCAAACAAATGATAACAAACTCAATCTGAGTCTTTGTTTCTACTGATATTTGTTAAGGTTGCTAGCAAACTAAACAAGCTTAAAGGCTTTATGTCATCATCAGTAGCTTTCCAATAAAGTTGAAAGCTGGTCCCGAATTTCCTTTTTACAGCAATAAGTAAATAAACAAGAGGCAAGGGATGGGCACTGTTGGTTTATATTGTGTGAGAATGATTCAGAGGCTCTGAAAGGACTCCGATGTGAACCAAACCGAAGTGCACTTAGAGGAGGTGTTGTGAGCCCACAGCCTAGGGCTCAGACCCTGCAAGCAGCCTGGTACTGGCCAGCTCTGAACACCCTGCTCCTAGGACCATTCTGACAAACCCATACATGCATCACCACAGAGGCAACCTGCCCACCTGCCTCACACAGACACCAGGACTGCAAGGAAGCCCTAAGCAAGTAATTTACAGCTATACAGTCACAGCCTTTTAGATTAGCATACTTCCACACTGTCTTGCAGCACACAGCTTTCCAAAAGCATGTAAAATGCAGCAACCATGGAAGGATTCAACTTCATTTTTATTTCTTCAAATTATTCTGATCTTAGATTTTGCTTTCCCCAGCGACCTGACCAGCATCAGACCTACCTCTGCTACCTTAGAGTGGCCTTCCCACTGCTGACAGGACTCCTTGAAACTCATCAGCAAGAACAGTCCTCAAGTAATTCCATTTTCTTAAAACAGATATCAAAGAAGCTGACAGATACTGCTGCTTTCCTATTCCTTCTCTGATGCTACTTAAGAACTTATCCACACTTCTTATTTTCTACTGCAGAAAAAGCCAGTGTTAAAGAGTTTTACAAGTGCAATTTGCCCTTTTACAACTGAAGACTCATGTACGAAAGATTTTATATTCACCTGTTTTGTGTCCACAGATGCCACTGGGGAATAAATAGGATAAAAATGACATTTTACATCACACATTTAGATGGATGCATCCAAGAATTTTTGTAAGGATAGATAAAACTAGGTCCAAAGTTGCAATATAACAATGAAGCTTACTTTAAACCTCTCACCATCATAAATTAAGACAAAATTTTAAGGGAATAGAATTCAGTGGTATCTGAATTAGCCTGTGACAACATGACTTTAAGGGATGTTCTTATTTAGCTCAGCCACACAGCTGAACAGATTCTACGTGATAGCATCCAGATGGCTGTCTATGTCATCTTTTTATCTCACCCGCTGGTACTTATGGATGAAATGCCAAAGGTAGACAGTCAGAATAAGCAGTCCTTTCCAGTCTTGAGATTTATGAACTCAGACTCTGATTTAAGGAAAGTTGCAACCTGCTCCCTATTAAATACAAACAAATCCCTTGAGTTTGTCCTAGATATTTGCTTCCCAGAAATAATCTCTTATCACTGTCTAGATCTTGTTATTTAAATGCAAGGACAAAGGACAGATACATGTATGTATTTCAAGGTCTTTCCTTCTTAAAAAACAAAAAAACAGCCCAAACTGTACATCTGTACTAACAAGACCTGTAGCATGACTCTTTTCTGGGCAAGTATCAAAGATGGCGTTTAGAAGTTAAGATTTAAACAGATGAACCAACCAATTTGCCCATTATTATACCAGCAAGGTTTTCACAGACTAGGACATTACAGCAAGGTTTTCACAGACTAGGACATTAGTCTGCCACATTTTGAGTAAACATGCAGCTCAAAACAGTCAATTCCTTAAAACATAGTACTAGATTGACTATTTCATGGAACCCACAAGAGCAACAATCATTAACAGCCTAAAGAGCAACAAAACATGATGGCACAGTGAACTTCTTGCAGACTCTGATCCGTGAAACACAATCTTGCATTTAACAAAATCCCATCTACAAAAGCATTAAGGCATCCTTCTATGTCATATCTATACTGACAGCCTCTACAAGGGGAAATCACAGCCATTGCTGCCAGTACTAGGAGGGCAATACTTCCCCAGGAAAGGAACACCAAACCCACATGATGCATTCTTTTGAACACATTTAGTGGTAGTACCCTGAAGTACTGCCAAGGAACAGCTTGATAATAGCTGTCAGTCTCTGGAGTTATCTATTTTGGTCTTACAGTTTTATTAAATATTAAACAGTATTCATGAGTTGTACTTACCAAAATGCAGTCCACTTTAGATTGTACAGTTTTGCTAGATGTGAGGGGAGAAAGAGAGAACAGAAATCTTGAATTAATCTTAACAGTTATTATGAAAATATTACATATCCTAATAGCTACCACTATACTACAGACTTAATATCCTGCTGCAGAATTTCACATTAGCCTGTGGAAGAATATTTAACCTGCAATTTTTCAGGTAGAAATCATGGCGAACCCAATAGTTTGTTACAGTTCTTGCTGTTTTGTTCTCTCGCATAAGGCCCATATTTAAAACAAAATACTTTTGCAACTAGGAGCTATTATCTCAAGTTACAAAGCAGCAAAGATGGATGTCACTACTTCTATTGCAAACTCTTCCACTTTTCAGATGTATTTGTTTATCTGTAAACATAATTAACACCTCCTTCTCACCACGCTTCATTAAACCCACCACTTCAGTGCATTTATTTCTAGCTTCCCAAAGACCTGCCAAAAAACAGATACAGCTGATATCCCACCATCAACCTATGGAGGAGTTTTCCACTTCTGTCTCACTACCTTTCAGTTGGTTTATTAAAAAGACATTGGGCAGGGGCTGAATTCAAGTTTGTCATAAATGACCTCAGTAAACATGTCAAAGAGTGGAAGGAAACTTGCTACATTTAAAGATAAACAAACCCATAAGCAACTTTTGTACTTCTTAGAATACTCCATGTCACATGCTTTGACTGACTCCGTATTAGTTGAAGGCATTTAATCATTGCTCTGAGCAGGAGAATGAGCTTTAACAAGCAAAGATCCATGATTTTCACTGCTGGATACCAACTGATTGAGCTCTAAACAATTTCCAGGTTTAGGAAACATTTCATTGCTAGTAGAGTAAAAAATAACTTAGCCTTCTATTAGCAGAACAAAATATATTTCCAGATATTTTATTTTTGTATACATGTTACCCACATACAAAGAAAGACCAAGGAAGATACCTGACAGATATGCTAAAATGAGAAGCAAGCAGAACAAATGGCTCCAATGTCTGGTGGTAATAGGAGCCAGAACTACTCAATCAGCATCTACTGTTACATCAAGATGTTCAAAGAAGCAGCAGCTCAGTTGTCCTCCTTAATACAGCATCACATTTTGAAACCAGAAGGTCTAAAATACGACCTGCAGAAACTGCTATTACTTTCATACAAGAACTGCATATGGCTAGAATAATAATACAATAAAAAATAAACAGGTAAAACTATATGACATGCTGATGCTCACTTGTGTAAAGTTGATCAGATGGGTACATATTTGGGAGGGAAGCTGAGTTACTCAAGATTTGTGCACAGAGGATGCTAAAGACAGTAAAATAGAAGCTTTTCCTCACCTATGAGAAGTGGCCTCCATCTACCGCAGCACCTTAAGGACACTCAAACGTCACCTCACTTTTCATAAACCATCATCAAACTACAGAGTCAAAGGACACCAAGCATGGATACTTTCTGCAGCTATTAAGAAGTATAACTGCCTCTGACTTGAAGCTGACCAAGGCCACCCAGCTGCTCCTACAGCGCTGCTCTCAACCTCGCCTCCACCCTGCCCCAGTGCCTCCAGCAGGATTTCACAATGCCAGCACTGCTGTAGATCCACAGCCCCTCACAAAGCAGCAGTTATGGCAGCAGGCAATAGGGCTCAGGCACTTGTGTCCACTTTTGTGGCTAAACTTTTCTACGGCTTCACATGACAGCTTAAGACAGAAAAGCAGCATGGAGGATAAAGGGATGCAGGGGGTGCACCCAACTCAGTTGAAATACAGCCACAGACCCGCATGTGACATTTTGTGCTAGGCTTTTCAGGAAGGAGTGCTTCGGCCAGCACAGTTGACAGTCGTGGCAGATCCTGCCAAACTGTACATAAACATGCCCATTTGCATTAATATGTTCTTCCTGTAAAAAGAAAGAGTCAAGCTGCCAGGAAGCAGCTGGGCAGTAGATCCGCGGAGTTGTCCTTTTATCTCCAAACATCATTCTGAGCCAGCTAAATGTAAATTCTCCGATCCAGTTGTGACCTCCTTTGCACAGCACCACAACAGTGTCTAGAATTAACTGCTAAAGAGCAATATTTGGAACAGTGGATATAATTTCCTCTGTTTCTTTCTCTTTTTTTAATCAGCTGGTTGTGACATCTTAGAAGGCAAAGGTCTTATGGCTCAAGCAGGAATAAATGTGGTATTTATTTCAAGGACAACCAGCTCTGTACTCCTTGGTACACTGGAAGGACACTGTTGCAATCTGTTACCAGTAAGCAGATGCTTTTTTCCATCCTAACCAGAACTCAGGCTAACATAGCCTGACTTCATACCGCCTGTGTCTAATGACATCAGTACTTCTCATTTATCTTCCAGTGGAGTTGATCAGGCAACAGCAACCCTGAGGAACCAGTTCTCTGACTGGGAACGTACACAGACAGTGACCTTTGCAATGCATAGAAAAGCTCTGCATGGTGCAATTTTAAGCTGCTGCATCTCCATCTCATCAGGAGATAAAAGGCAAAGCGACAAGTGCGGTGAAACAACAGCCATCCCAGATATAATATATTTGCCAACTTCATTTATTTCTCCCCACTACTTCCTTTGCTTATTTACAGGACAGATGTGTTATTGAAAGCTGACAGTTTTCAACTTTAAAATAAATAAGCCTGCTTCTGTCCCTGCCAAATGCATCAATTACCTAATAACTTCTTTAATTACAGAAACCACATCCATTGTATTCAGTTTTGCAGGCACCAAGATTTAATTTGGTCAGCAGCCTTGAGAGACTTCTGGCAACATTTTGTTCAGTTAGCCCCCTACCACCAGCAACCACAACAGCATGGCTGAATCAAACCCTACATGTGGAGCCACGTCTAATGTTTGGAGGCTACCACTCACACGCTTTGCTCCATTTCTAGTAACAGCTGCAGGAGAGAACCAAAACTGATAGATGTTCTCACTAATGAAAATAACCACTTCAATCTATTGGCGACTCAAGCTCATCAGAAAACTAAAACTAGGAGTTGCACTGGAAGACCAGAAACACCAGTCTGAACTGAAGAGCTCCCCTCTGAAGAACTACCATTAGCCATCAGGTAGAATGCTCAAAAACAAGAGCCCAGCATTAGTTCAAACAGCATCAGAAAGGGGGGTTATTTACCCTGTGTTTTACAGAAGCCTCTGTGCTTCACAGGAAACCTGCAGCCCCATATCCTCCCATTAAATGCATAGGCAGTGATGGCCTTCCTGGAAAGCTCCTCATCAGTACTCACAGACTCAATTTCTGACTCAGTCTTTAGGCCTAAGACCTTGGACAGATTCTTGCATATTTACTTTTGAATACTGCAGTAATTTAAGCTCCTGAATACTGCAGCCGTTCTGAAACTCCTGAAGTTATCTTTGGAGGTGGGGGAGAGAAGAGTGAAATCAGACTAAAGCATTTCCTCAAACTGCTCTTCCACCGTGTGCCAAAGTATGCATGTCTGCTCTCCCTGACCTATTTGTGATTTTCTACTCAGAGCAGCCCCATTTTAACAATCTGACTTGGCAAGAGCAGAAAGAAGTGTGTGTTCTCTGCTCAGGTGCTCAGTTAGGTTACTTTGCACAGAGGAGGACACGGAGAGGAAAGAGAAGGTAAGGGGAGAAGGTAAGAAGATGAAATTTTTTTTCAAAGTGGCATAAAACCAGATGTTGCCAACTTTACTTTAAGGAATATGCAGCTGAACTATGTGAGCAGTATGGGAATATCTTATTACAAGAGATGGCAGATTTCAGTTGCTCCGGGCACGCTTAGTATTTCCTTAATGCTGCGAATGGTAGAGGCCATATAATCACAAAGGATACAAAAACTCTCACACCTGTGAGAGCAGAACGAGTTGGGAGGGGTAAGAAAAGTCCCAGTGCTGAACTTAACCCCCAGGTGGAGGGAGGTGTGAACAACAGCACAAGTCCAGTTGGACAAGATTCTGGAGAGAAGTGGAGCTACAACTTACAGCAGAAAAATATTGTAGCAGTTCAAAGTGCCTTTGGAAGCCCACCGATACTTTATCACTACGGCTTTAATACCTTCAGTGAATCTGATACAAACACTGCGTATTCTCTTCAGCTCTGTACCACAGATGTTTGCATAAGCTGGAATACCCTCCTGAAAACACTCTATAGCCTCAAGTGTGGTATACTGCAGACGTTCTAGGAGAAACATCATTATTCCTATTAACTCTAATGCAATTTAGGAAAAGGAATGGCCTTTTGTAACTGCTCATGGCTTTATGATACATTGCAAAACCAGGATACAACTCCTGACCAGATGGGAAAGGTTTCCCACTGCAGAGCTTCCAGTACACATGCATGAAGCTGCATTATTACCCGACGTACACTATGCAGTAAGAAAACTTGCAACTAGAAACAAAGACCCAATGTATAGTTACTGTCATCATTGTCAATAAGCTGATGTCTCACATAAAGCATTTACCATCTCAGACAATTAATAAAAAGAGAGAACAGATTTATAAAGCTCTAAAGTAAGCTTCCTTTGGAGAAGCAAGTGGGGGGGAAAAGCCACAAGATTTTTCTCTTAAGAGTTCAGCACAAAACCAGCAAATACTCAGTGCAGCTCCAACAAGGGCCAGAGACTGCTCAGCAGCCACAAGGAAATTTCCCAGAAGCTCATTTGTAGCCCATCTGTACGATGACGTGCTGTAAAACAAGCCTTTCTTATGAGAATGGAAGGCATGGGAGATAGCAGAGTGCATGCCATGAAAGACTTGCTTTGGCCACATGAACTTTCACAAGTCAGTTACTCAGCTATGAAAAGTCTCCATTTCCGCTACATTCATCATTCCCCAAGACAATTTTCAAGGGCTGCCTGTCAAACTACTTAACACCAAGGGCTAAATGAAGGTTTGAAAGACCGCTTCTATGGTGGAACAATACCAAGTGAACAGCACTTCCAGCCTCCCAGCACAGCGAGCATGCTTTCTCCCAGCCACAGGAGGTATTTTGGTGCTGATAGCCACCAGGAGCTCTGTGGCTTATTC